TTCTGGCAGTATTGAAGTAAGAGCATAACGGCTTTGCACCGACACCCTTTCCCCCAGTAGCCTGATTGGCCGAAGGAGTGGCATACTCATCACCCTCATGTTGCCGATGGTCCTTGGACGACGAAGATGTCTGCTCTGAAGGAACGATGTCACCCCGTCGTGGGATGGTACCTGGATATTATGCTGCAATCTGAGCAAGCTCAGTCTTGTTCCCAAAAGAGCGTGTTTTTTCAAGCTGTTGGCATAAACTGTTCAGTGCAGCAGTCGACTCGTGAGGAGCCTGTTCTGGTACTCCTAAATGATCCGCGCGTGCTTGGCCAGTCTCCGCCTCCTGAGCGCAGCAAGCAACTCCTTGCAAGATGATGCTGTGGGAAATTGCTTTTGAAATCTTTGCAACGACACTTGCAGTGATACCACCTGGCATCAGCACCTCGCTCACCGTCTCCATCAATGCAGCAGTGGATACCGCCTCATTTGGAGTCCCCTTCTCAAGAGCAGGTTGCTTCAAGGACTACGGGATTGCCTTAAGCAGAGCTGGGCTCAATCGGGTTTCCATTTCCCTTTCATCCTGATGAACTACTGGCAAAGTTGACTCACAACCATCCCTCAGGCGCTTCTCATAATTGGTTTGTCCTTCCTGCACTCGCTTTCGGAAGAACTGCGCAAAAGATGGGGAGATCGCCTCCGCCGGTGACACGGCTTCTGTGCACCACTGTCTGAACACCTTTCCCTTTTCCCACGGTTCCCCATGAGGAATCGTAAGTTTAGGAAAATCCTTGATCAATTTCCACTGTCCCGCCGGAATCTTGCACCAGAATTTCTTAGACTTGGAGGCTCTGCAGGAGCTGACTGCTCAACCTGAGGGTCCTCTTCCTGGTCTAGCCACTCATGAACATCATCCTTCTGCCACGGATCCTCAGCTCCATCACGCTGGGGAGTCATCTGGAACATCTGGACGCCTGATGTTGTGCGATGCTTTAGCGTTTCAATGATCTCCTGAGCCTTCGCCTCCTCCTCCACTCTCTCTCAATGTACCTCTTCTGCAATCTGCCGGGGCATCCGAGGTTGAGGACGAAACGATGAAGCTTTGGACTCTCCGCTAAACCCCACATCAACGTGAGTTTGCAAGGTTTCAAACCGGCTGGTGAGATCCTCTGACCGCCGTCTAAGCTTCTCACAGAGTTTCTCATTCCCATCCACACGTTCAAAGAAATGTTTCAACAACGCATCCATCTCATCCACTCCACGCTGGATGCGGGTCTCACTCTCTTCACTCTTGATCTGCGCGCTTTGTCGTATGTTGGGTTGTTGATGCTCAAAGCTTGACAATGCAGCTTTCATCGAAGCCACTTGATCTCTCAGCGCGTCCGCTGAGGTAGCCTGGGCTTGCAACGGTATAATCTGATTCTCCAGGGCACTATCTGCTGTTCTCCAAGCTCCTTGATTTTGCCATTGGCGTTGTGCAAGGCAACATGATGATCACTCGCAGCATTGAGCAGTCTCTGTGTTTGATGCTTCACTCCATCTAGGTCCCCGGTAATTCCCGACAAGCACGATGCCAACCGCTCTGTTCTTGCCTCAAGCTCCTGAGCCACCAAACGAACCTTGCCCTGCACGTCCTGGATGGTCTTAGCATCGGCCACGACAGCAGCTGATGATTGAAGCAATCTCAGAACTTCGGCCGGCGTCTGAATCTGCAACATTTGCTGCATCTTCATACGCACCACATTTTCTGATGATGATTCGTCGAAATGCTGAAGCTGTGGCGCCACTGAAGCACTCGCTGCAGAAAGGGATTGCGGTGGAGCATTTGGGCCCATCACCTGTGATTGGTAAGGGCTGCTGTCAGTGATGATGCTGACTGCTGGAGACATAATCTGATGCTGCTGCTGTTGTTGCTGCAGATTCATCCTTACACTATGTGGAACATCATCTAAAGAACTGTATTCCATATCACCATCAACACTACACAGCTCACCACCTTCAAATCAAGCTCCGAATAACCCTGAAAGGGTTAGGGAGAGAAGGGGAACCAGGATACAGGATATCCTGGGAACCACACCCGAAACCCTCAACCTGAAACGTAAAAACCCTTCGCCGAGACCTTGGTGCATTTCTCGATTTGTGCATCATGCCTGAGCCACATGAGTGGCCTGTCATCTTACGCAGGGGCCATGCTTCAATGGACCTGGCAATGTCATCCTTGCACAAGGGCCATGCTTCAATGGTCCTGACAAAAGGCCTTAGTACACTTCTCGATTTTTGCGGATCGGCTGTGCAAACACAGATGTCATTGCCGTCCGCACGCACACACAAACACACACACGAATACCGCAAGCCACTACTCTGTCAAGCGGTTTGTGCCGAAGACATCCCAGATTTTGTATCGAAGAGTCTGATGCTCACTAATGACAAACCATCTTGGCCGGACCCATAACAGTCCATGACTGCCACACTGTCTGGGATTTGCTATGAGCTCGAAGGAGAAGACACCCCATGCTCGCAGAGAACACCACCATGAGCCACATCGCCATAAGACCAGCACAGTCAGCAAGGGTCGTAAGTGTAGCAGTGTAGCAATAGTGTAGCATCACAACCAAAGACGCGTGGACGGATGCGTCCATGATGCGTTAACCATCGTAGGGGTGGCAAAGGGATGGGATGCAGCCGCGAGGCACTGACATTACCCACAAGGCGTTGGATCTGGTCATGAGGTAGCCGTTGGGCAGCACAAAACCAACTGTGTACTTAAAGCCGCAACTTACGAGTACACCTGTTGCGCGATCGTGCTGAAGTCATAGCTGGGAACGTTGGTGGCGGAAGCAACGGAAACGGAAACACTTCGCCATAAGCGGGTGAAACAGCTGTCCGTATGGTAGAATAGAATGTGGGGTCGCCTTCTTAGGGAAGACAGCCTCAAGAGAGCCACCAGCACTTCAACCCTGAGTGGCTGAAGACGTTACTTTGCCGCCAGGGCGTTTGCCATCTCGCCCTCGGCCATCTCCTTTCGAGAAGATCTCGGCTTGGACACTGGAGCCCTTACCATCGCCTCGTTGCGCTTTGGCCCGCTCTCGCCTGTTGTGCTCACCTGGAGCAAATGAAGCAGCTTTGGACAGCAGCCATGCTGGAGCAATGTCATGAGACAGGTGGGCTGGCTTGATGGCGAGCATAGACAGGGCCGCATCACGATTACCGGTTCTTTCTTCGTGCACATACGATGCCAGCCTCCGCAGAGCCGCTTCCGCAGTTTCGCGGCGCGCAATCACAAGGCCAAGGCTTGAGCCTGAGAGCACTTCGCATCCTTCACGGCGAAGTCCACCAAGGAAGCTTGATTGAAGAGTCGAAATATAGTGCAGCTCCTCGACGATCAAGCGGGATCATTTGATCGAGGAAAGTGCGTGCGTGGTGCAGTGCCTGATAGGTCTGCTCAATGCAGCTGAGAAAGTTGAACGTTCTTCTTCGAGATGGGTGGGCCGTCTCTTGCCCACCTGTGGCCTGGCATCGGCTTGGTCCTGTAAGTCCGGACCTAACACAACCTGACACAAGGCAGCATGAGTGCTGCCGTGAGCTGTCTAACGACTTACCCGAACGCCGTCTGAGAGCTTGACAAAGGCTTCACAAGAAAACGTCTTGCGCGAGGTTGAAATTCACACACCCATCGCATGGCAGAAAAACGACCTTCTGTGCACGATAAGTTTTGTTGAGGCATTGCTGCCCAACCCTGGTCTCTCACACATTAAAACTCCGCAGCAACATAATCCATTTTGCAAACACTAACTGAAACCGGCTTAACCTTCGGGCCCCAGGAAATTTTGCAAGGAGGAGTGATTGTCAATGCTAACGTTTACAGCGACTCCACCAGTCCACCGCCACGACCTGCCAATCGTGTCCTTAGGGTCGGGACGAGGGGACGTGCAAGAATCCATGCCTTGGGCGATGTGGCGTAGCGTTACAGAACTTCCGCAGAGGCAGCCGACCTGGCGTGCTTTCGTAGCGCGGCGGTGGCACGCAACATCCTTCGAGCCCGTCCTGGCGAGCAATCGTGGATGGCACCCGCCGACGAGCAGTGACGAACAGGAGCCCGAGCCATGGGCCGCATGGCTGGCAGCACAGTGCGTCGCGAACTCGCAACCTGCACTTCCGCGAGAGCACGTCCTGCGCGCTCTTGTGTTTCTGGGCTGCACGCGGGTGCCTGGCTAACAACTATCCCAACCGAGCTTGCCACCACAATGCCCTCCAAGCGCCTCCCACCCCTCCTCCGTCTAAGTCGGTGCGGCCCATCTGCCGGATGTGGTGGGCTCGCCCACATGTTAGCAAAGCTCGTGGAGGCAAGTTTGAAGGAGGGCAAGGAAAGGCACAGGGCTAATTAGCCCTGCTTTGCATTGCTGCTATGCCGAGCATCCCTGTGTTCGACTTCGCCGGAACAGCGGGGCCGAGTCAACTGCCTCTGCACTAGCATGCGCTGGGGCCGTAGGTTTGACCAGAGTACGGAGCTGGAGCGAGGTCATGCCGGCGGGGAAACTGTGAGAACAAAGCAAAACTCCTTGCACTCTTCCGTGCGCGAGCCGATTCCGCCTCTTCCCGTGGACCCTGCATTGCGGCCTTTGCCTCTCCTGGTCAGCCTTGCTCTCCTTCGCGGCTGCCCGCGCCTTCGCTGCCAGCCTCCTTTGCTTGCCCCCGTCCGGCGCATCCAATATCAACAGCGAACCCCCGCGCTGCTGAGCCACATCGTCGCAGACTCCTCCCTCGAGCCGCCCTCAGCAAGCCACATGCCTTGAGTATTGTAGTGTGCAGTTGTAGCCTTGGTTCAGCACGGGGGGTGTGCTTTGGACGCCGGTTTAGGTTGCGTGAGGAAAAAATGCATGATGGGTGTCGTCAGCGATCGTGGTGTTTCGGATGGCCAACTAATCAAGATTGGGGACCTAGCTTCTCATCCCGAGCAGGCTCAAGACTTGCTTGCACACCTCGCGAGGAGATTTCGTTTGAAGACCTTCGCGCTCATGACCTTGCAGCTGATGCTGGTGTTCGGTATCATGGTACAGCGGCGGCAGAAACGAGTGCAGAACACCGATTGGGTCAGTTAGTATTGTTGCAGGAACACGTAGACTGCAGGTTCTGGTGGACTGGGCTAGACCGTGGGAAAAGACTTCGCCGGGCCATCATCTTCAGATTTTACAACAGGCAGCTTGTAGTCGGAGCACGGTGGGCTTACATGTTCGATGCACCTCGCATATCTTCGCATCGCAGGTCGTATTTTACACCATTGGTTTCTTGAACTTGGTGAGTGTGGTGGGGCTGTATTTCGCGAAGGCTGACTCGCGATGTGTTCTGATGGAATCATGCATGTTGCAGCTTTTTGTGTTTGTGGTTCTGCTAGGACAGGTACCCGACAAACTATATGCAGCTGGGTTGCAAAATGGACAGTGTTTGACACTACCCATGACACCATTGAGGATGTTTAATTAGTATATAGTTCACGGCAGAGAACATCATGTATTGTCGTTTTGGCACTCCCCCCCCCCCCCCCGCCGTGCCTTGTTTGTTTGCTGCCCAAGAGGCTGATGGCCACAACGACCTTGTTGTCTGGCATTTTCTGGGGCATGTTCCTTGACTGATCTGCACAGGTAGCTTGTGTATCGCTCTCAGGCAGGATAGCCGAAAGCCCTCCAGCGCGAGTCATCTAAGAGGTATCATTTGTCGATATCATTTGTTCCAAGTTTGCACTTGATCTGTGGTAGTCCCCGCCAAGGACCCGCGCCCATTCGGCCGTGACCATGCATTTCCAGCGCCTCGCTTGACTCATGGAGACTATGTGTGCTGTCATTGTGAACTGGCGACATCTGTGCATTGTGTCGCAGAGGATTGTCGGCATCTTGATGTTCACAATGGGTGCTGCGGTTGCATCTTGGCAGGCACTTGGTCGTTTGTACTCGGGATACTTGTACCCGCCTGCACACAGGTTTCCTCTTGGGCTCTTGCCACCAAAGATCCGAAGATGCCGGGTGGCTCGATGCTTTTGGCATCTTTGGCACCCGGCTGGCTGATGGGATGTGTGACAAATGCGGGAGTCCCGGATTGGTCAATGTCTCCCGTCGCATGCTCAAAGTCTTGATCCGCTGCCGTTATAGCTGTAGTGACGTTGTCGATATTCTGAAAGGCCTTAATTTGCACATTGTGGTTGCCGACGGGGTCTCTGGAAGTTCTCGCCGCCACAGGCATGAAAGTTCTGCGTGATTGTCGCATGTGATAGTTTGCCTCCCACAAGTGACACAAGTGTGTCATTCGTACGGCCCGCCAGGTTTTTCTTTCCTGCTGATCTGCATAATGCTGCTGGATGCAGGCGCGCATGTGTGGACGCACGTTCGTGTTTGGGACATTGCATCACTTTCTGCTCGTGTTTTCCAAGGCAAGTATCTGGTGAGTTGCGAGCCGGATGATTTCATGCACCTGGGTTGATCGGAGTGAACTTCATCTGATGCTGGACTGCCCGATGTTGCTATTAATGCTGAGGAGTGTGATCGTTTCAATGGATTCATCTTTACTCGTGATTGCCGCAGCCCATGCGGTGTGCGTGCATTTTCAATGTTGGCAAGTGCTGGTACATCATGTCCATCCCCTTGGCCCATACCGTAGCCACAAGAGTCCGATGTCTGCGGAGGTCAGCATCCCATTCTTTGTTCTTTCATTCTGTCTTCTCCACACTGGCGAGGCAGTTGTGTCTTTTTTCTGATTGAGTGAGAGCAAAAGAGCGACAGCCTCGTTGTTGTGTGCTGCAGCCCTGTCGCAGGCTGTTCTTGACCCCACTGGAGATGTGGAAGTTCCTACGGAGCATTTGCCGGCGCCGGACCATATTGGTGCTTCCAACACTCTCGCGGCTTGACAGTTTTTCCGCCTTCTTGTGTCATCTTTTCGCACTGCTGCCCAGCGGACTTGCTGCTTTGGCCAGGTGATCGCTTGAGAAGGCGACGGTGCCTGGAGATGCGAGATTTCATGATCTGCCGAAACCACCAAGGATTAGACCGATTCGGAGTTGGCAAGCCAGCACGTTCTGTACTTGCATGCCGGCTTACACCGTGCGTTGTAACGTGTTTGTCGAATTCGGAGAATTGACTCTGCATGGCAGGTAAGGCTTCGGAACCCATGCATATCTCGTTTCTGCATAGCGACACTCGGAGAATCTCGTAGACTCCGTCCGTGTACGAATGTTCCGAAGCACCTGGTGGTGTGCTCACTGCTCACAGGGCCCACAAGCTGCCCCAAGTTTTGAGCTTGTGAGGACAGCTTCGCACGGTGGAGCATGCAAACCGTCCTTAACAAGTGCCAGGAAAGGAGGACGGACCACCGGTTTTACCTGCAAGAAGAAGCTTTGGCCACGCTGGGTGACGGTGCAGTTTTCAAGCACAGCGCGCAGACTTTGCCAGATGCTTGTGCAGATAGGAGTGTAAAGTGCCTACTCACAAGACGTCGGGGGATTGTACAGGTCCGTGTAACCGTGGCCCACTCATCCCTGGACCCTCTCGCCAACTTGTAGCTTCCATGTGTGGCGAGCGATGCTTGGGCACAAACAAAATGACGTGTCGTTTCTCGCGAGTGCCATGTACTCAGAGCGTGCAGCGTCAGGAGTGTTTGCGAGTTAGTGGCTTTGTGGTCAGGGCTAGCCGCTTGACTAGCCCAGGTCCTGCTGAAATCCTGCTCACCGAACAGATGTCGAGCTGATGAGATGTTGCAAGAATGGACTGCAAAGTCACGAGAAGTCGGCAGGTCATGCAGTCAAGGATTTATGCTCCAGATTCGTGACCAGCATGATGCAGAAAGTAATCGGACTTTTCATTTCTAGCGGGCATGCATGACGACGTGGCCCCGACATTGGCACGTTCGGTGCCGGCCGCCTCTTCTGCCTCAGGCCTGTAGCATCTGTGCTGATGCATGAATTCACTAAGGGGTGGGAGAAGGGCGGGGATTCCGAACTTGGGACGGGAATGGGCTCGGACAGCTGAAGTTAAACCAGCTGCATGTTTGACACGAAGCGCTAAGTAGAGAACCTCGCACTGGTTCTCTTGTACAGAAGCAGCTCGGAATTCAAATAGGAAGTTCAGAGTTCAGAGGGAGGATTGCATCTGCACACTGCGCACGTTTGTCTGTTCTGCCTGACTGCCGGCCTGCCTGTGCATGCGTGTGTGTGCATGCATGCATGGGGTTAGTGTTTCTTCTCCTGTCGTGACTTCCTGGCAGTCTCGCTCGCGCGCTCCATGCGTTGGGCTCGGCATGTCTTTCGTCCCACACCGGCATCGAAGCGGTTCTGAACCGGAACTCTTCCGGTTTTGAGGTCTGCGCCCAAGCTGACCCAAAGCATTGCTTTGCCCATAAGACCGCCGCAGTCCCGGAGGGTTGCCGACTGACTTCGTGATGACGGCAGCTAGGCTAGAGGGGCTTCTAGCATGCGAGGCCGATGATGGTGCCAGAGCGGCTCTCAGAAGATCTCGCTTCTGTTAGCCATAGGGCCATAGCTACTCCCGCGCTCCAAGCTTGGCACCAAGTCAGAACCCAATAGGCTTCCAAAACTCGGATGGAGAAGCTGAGAAGCCCATCGGCTGGAGGGTGATGCTCCAAAGTTAGGCCGCTCGAAGCAGCAACCTCAAGACCTGCCAGTACCCCTGACTCCTTCGAATTCTCAAAGACTCTGAAGCAATGTCGACCAATTCGACTACATTTGGATCCCGGCTTGTTCGCTCATCTAGCAGTTGCAGACATCTCAGCAGAGAAAAATGCAAGAACAAAGCGTCTAAGGCTAAGGCTGCGAGAGTCTCTTATATAGCCCCAGGCTGGTCCGGGCTGTCCCGCTGCTCAGCCACTCTGGTGCGAAGCTCATGTGCTTCTTGCGGGAGTCAGACTATCCGCAAGAGAGGGTTTCTCCTAGGAGAGGGAACGGGGGAGAAGACCGAGATAGACTGAGCTTTTGCTTTATTTCCATGGTTGGGGTACTGTGACAAGCGAGCCTTCCAGCCCGCACGGGACAGGACAGCTCCTGCGACCTTGGGAGTGACACTTCAAACATGTGGATGCAGGGGAATGTGTGCGGTTTTCTCACCAACTTTTGGTCCTTCCGGTTCCGGACTCCGCCTCTGCGGCACTTCGCTGCCCTTGTCGCAACGTTTCGGCTGCGGCCGGAGGTGAACCTTTGCCCTTGCCGCTGAAGTTAGAGTACTGTCGAGGACACTCCGCAGAATTGAAACCGTCTTAACTCACAACATCTCGCAGTTTCCTTCTGAATGCAGTGCATTGCGTGTTTGTTCCCTTTTGTGATCAGTGCTGCTAGTCAGGGTTTGAGCTGAAGGAAGTCCCAGCAGTTGCGTCTTGCATAGAACAGTTTGGAACTCCCAGGGCGCGACTGGAACCGGTTGCTGCCGCAGCATCCCAGGCATATTGCTTGCCGCGACCGGTGGTGGCCTTGCACGTTACCTATGTTCGCGAGGTGCCCGGTGCAGTGCGCACATTCAGTGCCGCGTCGGTTCCTCGGAGTCTCCGCGGTCATGGCTGGTTCGAACCTTTTCAATCTTCAAGCCAAGTGTTTACGTTCATCACACAGGGTGCCGCCGACCAAGCCAGTGATGCAGATGCCCCAGAAGAAAGCGATTGGTAAGCTCCGCACGTCGGCCGCCTCGAACAGCGAATACACCGCATGGAGCAGTCTTGGTCACAGGACCGGCTGTATCGAGACAGGTGCTCAAAAGCTGTCTTTCAGGGTATATGATACACTGCTATAGACTGCTTCTGTACACTCTGATGTATTTTCCAGCAGAACATGTAGCTGCTATCGTTGTGGTGCTTGATCTCCAAGGCAGACGCCTGTGCACATACCGCGGCAGGACTCCGTTTCGTTTAAGCATATGGTGCCACTCGCAGGGGCTACTCGGCATCTAACCGAGATCTGCTGCGCATTATGAATTCATCGGCAGGCGTCCTTGCAGCATCTTCCGCTATCCTTTGCATCGACGGCCCGCAGCCCAGATCGAGTGGGCTCACGTCAATTAGCCACGACAGCTGCAATCAGTCTCCGCTCGTCACCTTGCAGGCTGCAGGAAGCACGGTTTCCTCGCGTCGTCCATCTTCGTCCAGGGCACAGCAGCCACCAGCCTAGCACGGGTGTCACGTCTTGCGATGGGTGCCGAGGTCGGGCGACCGGAGCCAGATGGACAAGGTGCATCGGTGGCCACATCGGGCAAGCGGAACGAGTGTACAAGCATGAAAGTGTATGACGAAACTCTATTGCTTGCAGGAGACTACGCCACCCGAGAAGGATGAGGTGCTTTTGTTCCCCCCTCTGCTCCGCCTGGCTTTACATACAGTATACACCCATCTGGCCACGTGGACTACATGAAAGTATTCGCGCTTGAATGCATGCAGCAACAGCAGAACCATCATGCATGTTTGCCTGTCCGTCACATTGGCTACCTCGGCATGAAGATCCTCTGATTTGGGTTTCGAGAGCATGGCGGGAGACCGATCTGGCAGGAGCAGCCAGGGAGCTTGGCTGACGGGATAAAGACTCGGTTGTGTCTAACTCAGGCCATGCATCAGGCTGCTGATAGCATTTGACAACTACAGCATTTGATTAAGCGTGGACCCAACATCCCACGGCCCAGTGCAGCCATGGCGCAGATTGCTGGGTTGTTGATGCTCCTGCAGCTCATGCGTGTCGGGCTGCACATTCGTCAGCCTTGTTGGGCACTGTGGCAGCCCGTGCCACAGCCCGTGCCACCAGGCGTCTTCTTCAATTTCTGGGAAGCTTCGATCAAAGCTCACTTCGCCACGATGCCGGCAGCTCAATCAACTGTTGTGAAGGTCAACCCCCGACTATTTCCGCGACATGTCCTGCCGGGTCCCAAGCCTTATTGTTATACCTTTGCTTTCAAGGTGCCGAGTACGGCGTCTCGTACCGTGACGCAGAGGGAGACTGGCAAGCGGGAGAGGCCGCCCAATCACATGCCAGTCGTCCGAGATTCCTGGAGCAGACGTGCGACGCCTACCAGGTGCTGTTGACGGCCTTGCAGTGCCAACTGTCTCGTCCTCAAGCTGTGAAGCTGGCCACAGCTGCCACGATACTTAAGTAGCCCGCGGTGTCCTCACTGGTCTTCAAGTTCACCCTGTCCTTACATTAGCATTCCCTGATGCTAGCGATGTCAGCCGGTACAAGCTTCCAGCGGATGCCGTGCGGCCAGGTCTTGCAAAGAAAACTCGCTCCACCCTTATTGGTGCTGTATTGTGCTGTATTGTATCTGTCATAGATCGTTGAAAGGCATTGGCTGCATGTCGGAATCGTGAGGCTTTGCAAGTTTTTCACCTTCTACCCAGACTTGGCAAGTGTTACATGGGAAAGAAGGCTCTGGGGTCTTGAGCTTGGAAGTGCTTGGCCGGATCTGGCATTGAGGTGTGTTGCGCCCCTGCCAGGCAAAGCACACGCTCGCCGAAGCCATCAGCGGACCTGAGGACCTCGACGACTTGTCAGGGCACGTCACAGAAAGTCTCACCACCTCAGGACTGCGCGTCCCCAGACGCTTTTACCAAGGAGTCGAACTTGAGCCTCGTCAGAAGCACCGTGCCGATGCCGATTGCGATACGTTCAAGTTTAAGCATTAGAGTTAAAGTGATCACTGCAAGTATTGTGCTCCAGCAAGCGGGTGTCAGGAACGGCTGCAGTCGTCCAGTAGCCTCAGTTCAGGAACTGGGTAGGTTCGGAAAAAGCTTCACGATTCGGCATGCTCGTCAGCTTTGCGGACCATGCCCCTTCCAAGATGCAGCACGATGGAACAGCCCTTCAGGCTTCAGTGAGGGCGCTATGCCTCATGCCTATGCTGGCAAAGTTATTCTGTCTTACAGATGTTGGCTTGCGGCTTGCAAGCCGACACGCGTGAAGCCCCCTGAGACGAACCAAGATGCAAGACCGGCTGCGTGCATCAGAGAGGATGGCAAAAGATGGCAAAACAGCATCTTACGACTCACAATCGCGTCTGACACTGAAGCTGCAGGATGCAGGGGCGATTTGCTAAAGCTTGTCCGAGACCTTGGAAATGATATCATTGTGTCGAATCAGGACCAAAGGTTGGATTAGTGCGAGTAGTGATGTGTACATCCACCTTGCTTTCTCAACATGAGTCCTTGGAGACACACCAAGCTAAAGAGTTGCAACCCTGCCAAAACTGCTGCCACTGACAGTGGCACGATTCTGCATGCAGTTTCTGACTCACTGGTGCCGTGCATCCCAAAGCGAGCTTTGACACGCAGGTCTAGGCGAGCTTGACATGCTTTTGTCTCGCCGAATCTTGTCGGGACCCAGGTTCGAAATATGTCGAAATGCAACTCCCCGCACAACCATCCCGGCCTCGTCTCAGCTTCTGTTGGCTGCTGTGGTGACGATTCCTCAAGACAACACTCCCCATCCCCTTCGAAGTCGCAGTCTGGCGGGTTTGAGCTGCGCGCGGGCCCAGTTCCGAGCTTGGGACCTGCGTTCAATGACTCGCCCGGAGCTCACATCCCCATTAAACAAACTACGTAGGCCTGGACTAGGACATGAAGAACCTCCCGCAGCCAAGGACTGTCCTCTTCATTCCTGGGGCGTGCCACTTCAATGGACAAGGCTAGGTAGGGTTTTGTTTTTTGCCTTCGTCCGCACTTGCATGCTGTCGCTGGTGGAGATAGCAGAGGGCGTTCAGACGCTCAGTCCTTGCTTGGAAGGTGAGCTTTTTGACGGAGCCGTGCAGGCGGGTATCCGAAGCGTTTGGCATGCAACAGCACTTTTTCCTGACTCCGTACACGTTTCTTGCTCTTGTCTAGGGTGTCTCTCTCTCCCTAGGATGGGGCTCTGAGTAGAAGGCATGACGGAGAACCAGGAATTCAACGAATGTGTGTTGGAGTCTGGACCGGGACCATAGCAGAGGGGATGCTGAAGAGTAGATCGGGCTGCTGTAAATCGACGAAGCGGGTCGTGGTGAGAATGGGGCCATCCATGGAGTGGTCGGAATGCTGAACTTCACACACAGACACACACACACAGACAGACACACAGACAGACACACACACAGACAGACACACAGACACACAGACA